AGGGTCCTAAATGAGAAGAACATGCAACCAAGAATACTTTATCCAGCAAGGCTCTCATTCAGAATGGAAGGAGAGATAAAGAGCTTCCAAGACAGGCAGGAACTGAAAGAATATGTGACCTCCAAACCAGCTCTGCAAGAAATTTTAAGGGGGACTCTTAAAATTCCCCTTTAAGAAGAAATTCAGTGGAACAATCTACAAAAACAAGGACTGAATAATAGATACCATGATGACACTAAACTCGTATCTTTCAATAGTAACTCTGAACGTAAACGGGCTTAATGACCCCATCAAAAGGCGCAGGGTTTCAGACTGGATAAAAAAGCACGACCCATCTATTTGCTGTCTACAAGAGACTCATTTTAGACAGAAGGACACCTACAGCCTGAAAATAAAAGGTTGGAGAACCATTTACCATTCAAATGGTTCTCAAAAGAAAGCAGGGGTAGCCATCCTTATATCAGATAAACTAAAATTTACCCCGAAGACTGTAGTGAGAGATGAAGAGGGACACTATATCATACTTAAAGGATCTATCCAACAAGAGGACTTAACAATCCTCAATATATATGCCCCGAATGTGGGAACTGCCAAATACTTAAACCAATTATTAACCAAAGTGAGGAAATACTTAGATAATAATACACTTATACTTGGTGACTTCAATCTAGCTCTTTCTACCCTTGATAGATCTTCTAAGCACAACATCTCCAAAGAAACGAGAGCTTTAAATGATACACTGGACCAGATGGATTTCACAGATATCTACAGAACTTTACATCCAAACTCAACTGAATACACATTCTTCTCAAGTGCACATGGAACTTTTTCCAGAATAGACCACATACTGGGTCACAAATCAGGCCTGAACCAATACCAAAAGATTGGGATTGTCCCCTGCATATTCTCAGACCATAACGCCTTGAAATTAGAACTAAATCACAACAAGAAGTTTGGAAGGACCTCAAACATGTGGAGGTTAAGGACCATCCTGCTAAAAGATGAAAGGGTCAACCAGGAAATTAAGGAAGAATTAAAAAGATTCATGGAAACTAATGAGAATGAAAATACAACCTTTCAAAATCTTTGGGATGCAGCACAAGCAGTCCTAAGGGGGAAATACATCACAACACAAGCATCCATTCAAAAACTGGAAAGAACTCAAATACAAAAGCTAACCTTACACATAAAGGAGCTAGAGAAAAAACAGCAAATAGATCCTACACCCAGCAGAAGAAGAGTTAATAAAGATTTGAGCAGAACTCAACGAAATCGAGACCAGAAGAACTGTGGAACAGATCAACAGAACCAGGAGTTGGTTCTTTGAAAGAATTAATAAGATAGATAAACCATTAGCCAGCCTTATTAAAAAGAAGAGAGAGAAGACTCAAATTAATAAAATCATGAATGAGAAAGGAAATATAAACGATTTTAAAAACATATTATGAACAGCTATATGCCAATAAATTAGGCAATCTAGAAGAAATGGACGCATTCCTGGAAAACCACAAACTACCAAAACTGGAACAGGAAGAAACAGAAAACCTGATCAGGCCAATAACCAGGGAGGAAATTGAAGCAGTCATCAAAAACCTCCCAAGACAAGAGTCCAGGGCCAGATGGCTTCCCAGGGGAATTCTATCAAACATTTATTTTTTTTTTTAAACATTTTTAAGATTTTATTTATTTATTCATGAGAATGCACAGAGAGGAGAGAGAGAGGCAGAGACACAGGCAGAGGGAGAAGCAGGCTCCATGCAGGGAACCCGACGTGGGACTCGATCCAGGGTCTCCAGGACCACACCCTGGGCTGCAGGCAGCGCTAAACCACTGAGCCACCAGGGCTGCCCTCTATCAAACATTTAAAGAAGAAACCATACCTATTCTACTAAAGCTGTTTGAAAAGATAGAAACAGATGCAGTACTTCCAAATTCGTTCTATGAGGCCAGCATCACCTAATTCCAAAACCAGACAAAGACCCCACCAAAAAGAATTACAGACCAATATCCCTGATGAACATGGATGCAAAAATTCTCAACAAGATACTAGCCAATAGGATCCAACAACACATTAAGAAAATTATTCACCATGACCAAGTAGGATTTATCCCCGGGACACAAGGCTGGTTCAACACTCGTAAAACAATCAATGTGATTCATCATATCAGCAAGAGAAAAACCAAGAACCATATGATCCTCTCATTAGATGCAGAGAAAGCATTTGACAAAATACAGCATCCATTCCTGATCAAAACTCTTCAGAGTGTAGGGATAGAGGGAACTTTCCTCGACATCTTAAAAGCCATCTACGAAAAGCCCACAGCAAATATCATTCTCAATGGGGAAGCACTGGGAGCCTTTCCCCTAAGATCAGGAACAAGACAGGGATGTCCACTCTCACCACTGCTATTCAACATAGTACTGGAAGTCCTAGCCTCAGCAATCAGGCAACAAAAAGACATTAAAGGCATTCAAATTGGCAATGAAGAAGTCAAACTCTCCCTCTTCGCCGATGACATCATACTCTACATAGGAAACCCAAAAGCCTCCACCCCAAGATTGCTAGAACTCATACAGCAATTTGGTAGCGTGGCAGGATACAAAATCAATGCCCAGAAATCAGTGGCATTTCTCTACACTAACAATGAGACTGAAGAAAGAGAAATTAAGGAGTCAATCCCATTTACAATTGCACCCAAAAGCTTAAGATACCTAGGAATAAACCTAACCAAAGAGGTAAAGGATCTATACCCTAAAAACTATAGAACACTTCTGAAAGAAATTGAGGAAGACACAAAGAGATGGAAAAATATTCCATGCTCATGGATTGGCAGAATTAATATTGTGAAAATGTCAATGTTACCCACAGCAATTTATACGTTTAATGCAATCCCTATCAAAATACCATGGACTTAACTCAGAGAGTTAGAACAAATTATTTTAAGATTTGTGTGGAATCAGAAAAGACCCCGAATAGCCAGGGGAATTTTAAAAAAGAAAACCATATCTGGGGGCATCACAATGCCAGATTTCAGGTTGTACTACAAAGCTGTGGTCATCAAGACAGTGTGGTACTGGCACAAAAACAGACACATAGATCAATGGAACAGAATAGAGAACCCAGAATGGACCCTGAACTTTAACTAATATTCGACTAATATTCGATAAAGGAGGAAAGACTATCCACTGGAAGAAAGACAGTCTCTTCAATAAATAGTGCTGGGAAAATTGGACATCCACATGCAGAAGAATGAAACTAGACCACTCTCTTGCACCATACACAAAGATAAACTCAAAATGGATGAAAGATCTAAATGTGAGACAAGATTCCATCAAAATCCTAGAGGAGAACACAGGCAACACCCTTTTTGAACTTGGCCACAGGAACTTCTTGCAAGATCCATCCACGAAGGTAAAAGAAACAAAAGCAAAAATGAACTATTGGGACTTCATCAAGATAAGAAGGTTTTGCACAGCAAAGGATACAGTCAACAAAACTAAAAGACAACCTACAGAATGGGAGAAGATATTTGCAAATGACGTATCAGATAAAGGGCTAGTTTCCAAGATCTATAAAGAACTTATTAAACTCAACACCAAAGAAACAAACAATCCAATCATGAAATGGGCAAAAGACATGAAGAGAAATCTCACAGAGGAAGACATAGACATGGCCATCATGCACATGAGAAAATGCTCTGCATCACTTGCCATCAGGGAAATACAAATCAAAACCACAATGAGATACCACCTCACACCAGTGAGAATGGGGAAAATTAACAAGGCAGGAAACAACAAATGTTGGAGAGGATGCGGAGAAAAGGGAACCCTCTTACAGTGTTGGTGGAAATGTGAACTGGTGCAGCCACTCTGGAAAACTGTGTGGAGGTTCCTCAAAATTGCACTGCTGGGGATTTACCCCAAAGATACAGATGCAATGAAACGCCAGGACACATGCACCCCAATGTTTATAGCAGCAATGGCCACAATAGCCAAACTGTGGAAGGAGCCTCGGTGTCCATCGAAAGACGAATGGATAAAGTAGATGTGGTTTATGTATACAATGGAATATTACTCAGCCATTAGTGGTTTATGTATACATTGGAATATTCCTCAGCCATTGGAAACAACAAATACCCACCATTTGCTTCGACGTGGATGGAACTGGAGGGTATTATGCTGAGTGAAGTAAGTCAATTGGAGAAGGACAAACAGTATATGTTCTTATTCATTTGGGGAATATAAATAATAGTGAAAGGGAATAGAAGGGAAGGGAGAAGAAATGTGTGGGAAATATCAGAAAGGGAGACAGAACATAAAGACTCCTAACTCTGGGAAACGAACTAGGGGTGATGGAAGGAGAGGAGGGCGGGGGGTGGGGGTGAATGGGTGACGGGCACGGAGGGGGGCATTTGATGGGATGAGCACTGGGTGTTATTCTGTATGTTGGTAAATTGAACACCAATAAAAAATAAAGTTATTTAAAAAAAAAAAACTTTTCTAGACAAACTATTTTCAAACACATGCAGCCAGACACTCAATGATGGCAAACACAGAAAAGACCATCCCTGGATAAGAACACGAAGCGCCGGCATGGAGTGCCCTGCATATCTTCACCTCATCTTCCTGAACTTACAGACACGTGGCCATCTGCTGTGTCCTCACACAGCCTTGCCTGGTTTACTCAGTCTACAACACAAAACCATCATGGTGGTTCATCTAGGTCTCCTGAAGCCCACAAGGGGACATACTATTACACCGAGGAAACAGATGGGTGTGATTATATGCTTTACCGCTTTTACATCTATTTCAAAGCATGTTCTTGTTCTAATTTTGCTCAGAAACGGTCCACCTTGAACTTTAGATTATTAATAAGACAGGCCTAGTTACTACTAATGTGGGCATCAGGTGATTTCTAAGATCTGCCATGTGACAGGAGCCCAAGAGGAGAAGACTATTATTATTTGTGTTCCTGTCTGTAAATGGTATGTGGGTCTTACTCTGGAGTCGGTGTCCAGCAGACAGCGGGAGATGATGGTGTCCAGGAACACCTCATGTGCCGCGATGATATGGTCCAAGTCTTGGGCCTGTTGCACCTTGTTCCAAAGTTCATCCCAAGAACATTCAAGCACCTAGGAAACAACATTGCAACACTTAGGGTTGTGTCATCCTGGTATAGGATCTTTGACAAAAGACACCCCACAAAAGCCTAAAACATTGACTTATTTAAACTAACATCAAAGAATGCTCTGAAATGTACCTCAAATGTAATGTAATACTGCATTTGGTGAATGAAGTGGACCATCTCAGATGCCAGAATGTGACAGTGGTGCAGCACCCCAGAGAACTCTGCAAGAGAGCCGAAGAGCAGGTATTAGACGCCACAGAAACACGTTTCCCCTCCTGTAGAACCACTAGCTTTTACTGATAACCCCTTAAAATAGAAAATGGCACTTCTGTAACTAATTTCCATGCCATTAGAGCTACACAAGGGTTTAGCTGTCTAATCACATTGCATTACTTTACATAACGTAAGGACCTGAATGGCATAAAATAAAATAATTGCATCTGAAAATTAAATAGACATATTTCATCATACGGATATAAATGTACGGTCAGTTCTGTGACTTCTTTACAACACATCTGTCTGCTGCTGCTGTGCAAGACTTCACAACTCCCAGTGACCTGGAGACAAAAGTGCCATTTCCTTAAGGGCCCGATTGGGATCCTGTTACCTGAGAGAAACGTGAAGCAGGAAGGAAATGGGCCTGAGCGCTCGACTCTGCTCCTGTTCTTTGCAAGACTATAAAACCATCAAAAGGCTTGGAGGTCACCAGAGAGGAGCCATTCTCTGCTCATACTCTTAATTTTTCAGAGTATTAGGGGAGACCATGGCAGAAGAGGGCTCAAGCAGAGGGGGCCACCAGAGGAATGGTTACAAGCACATTTCATTGGGGGTCAGACAGGACAAATTGATGTTAATTAGCTCCCTAGGTAATCAACTGTTGCTGCAGGCAGTTATTCAAGAAATCATTCTTGTCCCTTTGTAAGAGTAATGAGGAAGTGAAACACATGACAAAAAGAACAGTGGGGATATATACATAAAAAGAGGAGTAAGAAAAAAAAAAAGAGAAGTGCCTCATTGCCCTTGACATTGAGGGGGGACTTTGCTGGCCTGGGTCAGTAGGCACTGCTGGGCCCCATGAAGCAGCAGCAGGCCACCTTGGATGGGGTAAATACTCCCATGCAGAACAGGCTACTGGCTGCAAATTCATCTATGAGCCCAAAAAGAAGAATGTAGTTTCCTACTAAAAACTACCAAAGGGGCAGAAGTGTCTCACCTGATATTCAGAGCCTACTTACCTAAAAATTATTTCTGGCATAAAAGAGCACCATAAAAGCTTGTTTTAAGTGGGAATCGTCCATATCACCATGTCAGGACGCTTCTAAAGGAAATGACTGCCATTGATACCTCCACTGTGGGCTTTACTCCAGAGCTGGAGTGACAGGGACTGTGCTACCTTTCCCCCTAAGGCCAGGCAGTCTTACCTGGAGAGACTGTGTATACTTAAAGCATCCAACACGCATGAAGGTGTGCACCATCCACACTGGTTCTTTACAAGCTACACATGAGGACACCCAGGTCTCGCTGTGGTATCCCATGTCTCTGAATGTCACCTCTTATTAGGAGTGCTTCTGAAGATGTGCGGCTTTGCATGGACTCACAGTGGATGCCCTCGGCTCACAATCCACCCTACTGAGCCATCTGTGCAGTTTATACCTCTCCAACCTGACGTTCTTCTACCAGAGTTTAACATCACTGCCAAAACCGTAGACCTCATCGCAGACCTCATCGCATATCCTGATGGATGTGCATGAAGACAGTAAGCAAGCTCCTCTCAGCACTGTCCCTGAGGCCCCGTGTGTGTTACAGGATCACAGAAATCTGTGTGGCTCATCTCAGCATCTAGTTCAAAGCCAGTGTTCTGTACACAAGGGGAAAAGCTCAATCCATCCAGTAAACACTATTACTGCTCGTGTCTCTCTGGTTAGGGGGTCTTTGCCGGGGTGCTCTCACCAAGGTCCCAGTGACAATCCAGCACTATCGGGATCACATGTTAGGTTTTAGTTGTATGTTATACAAGTTTAATAACATTTTTCACATTTCATCTTTGAACTCCATACACCAGGAACTTCTGTGTGGCATGCACAGTTTGATAACACAGTGGCTAAGTTACTGACTCCACTTTATGATCTTGGATTTACATCACTGCACAATTTCTCCACCATCCATCATTAATCCGCCAGAATCTCTCATGTCACCCACGTCAAGAGTTGAAAATGCATCTAGAGAAACAACCTAGAATTCATGGCATTCGGCCTCAGCCAGTCCTCCACAGTGCCCAGAAACTCTCTCCTTTCTCTGCCTGACCTTCCAGCTGCCACTACCCTGGAGTCCTCCATCCACCAGCTCCCTCCATCCTTCCCAAGAGACACACCCTCAGGCAGGAAGCTACTCTGGGCCCAGCTCTCTCGTCCTCTGCCCAGAGATGTCACATCGGCCCTGGCCCAGGTCGCCAAAGACAAGGGACAGCTGGGGTTGGTCACCAGTCTCTACCTTAGCTGTTTTCCTGCAGTGTGGCCCTACTGGAGCGTTCTCTCCTCCCTGAAGTACTTCCTTCTATGGCTTCAGAGAGACGACTCTCTCCAGGTCCACTGCCCATTTTTCTGGTCGTTTTTCTTCATCTCATTTAGGAGAGCCTGTTTTGCTGCTCTTTGCTGCAAGACCTTTTTTTTTCCCTTCTCACCCCATTTTGAGGCAAACTCAATTCCGTGGCTTCCAGAATTATCTACATCTTTATCTCTGGTTCTGATCTGTCATGGGCTTCATCAGATCAATCCAACCAGAGGTGTCACATTATGTTCTTAAAAACACCTCAAATTAATGTATCTGAAACAGAAGGATTACCCCCAAAGTGTTCCTCCCCCAGTGCGCAGGGCCTGGTGAATGCCCTGCTGAGCCCAATCACCCAGCCCTGCCCACCAGAGCTCCCTCAAGTCCGTGCACTCTCCCCAGCCCCAGGGTGCTGTGTCCACCACAGCCACCCTCCCACAGGATCACAATCAACGCTTCTGCCAACCTCCAATGTTGCCTCTGAGAACCACTTTCCTCAGAGATGCCAGAGTGGCTTTTAGAACCAAACAAATCTGAGTGTGTCCCACTCCCTGGTGCAAGTCCTCCTGTGGTTCCCTCTGCCACTGAAGTCAGACTACCCAAGACCCAGCCTGTGAAGCCCTCGAGACCTGGGTCTTGGCCCATCCTCCCCACCCCCACACCCTTTCCTTCACTGACATGCTCACATCCACCCAGGTGCTGCCTTGGACACCAATGCCTCCGCGGAGCCCTTGAACACTACCCACATCCACCAGGTGTGTCCTTTTCATGTTCCTAGATCACCTGGTCTCTTCCACATCAAACAACTCATCACAGGGCATTCTAAGTTCTTGTTTAAATGTTTATCCTGGGACGCCTGGGTGGTTTAGAGACTGAGTATCTGCCTTTGGCTCAGGGTATGATCCTGGCGTCCTGGGATTGAGTCCCGCATTTGGCTCCCCATAAAGAGCCTGCTTCTCTCCCTCTGCCTATGTCTCTGCCTCTCTCTGTGTCTCTCATGAAAAATAAATAAAATCTTTAAAAAAGATAAAAATAAATGTCCATCCTGCCCTCATAGCCACCACAGGGGCCTTGTCTGTCATGTCCATCACAGGATACCAAGAACAGGCAGCACAAAGTAGGCCTTCAACAATCATTTGCTGAATGAGTGACTTCGTCCTCAAAAATTAAGGTGGATGAGTGTACTCCCCCGTGTTTTGACTATTTAAACGCACATCCTGTTCAAAGGCCTTTCCTGACCAAGGCAAATTAGCAACAATGTTAAAAGAGGTGTTCTTCCCTTTAACAGTGTAAAGTACTACCAAATACTTCATTTTCCTTCTAGAGAAATCAACCATCTTTTCTTCTATAAATGAGTATACAAAATAGCATCTTCAATGACATTCTTCCAAAATAAAACCTCTGAGTACAGGGACCTGTGGCCACTGCTCAGAGGCACCGCACACTGAAAAAGAACCTAACAACTCGTATAATGGAAGTCTGAAGTCCCTATAGTGCTGCAAGTCTTCCCCACATGGGAAGTCACATCCTAGACACTGTACTCAGAACCTCTCATGGCCTAGTTGCTCTCTAACAAATGACTAGGAACCCAATTCATAAATACAATGAATTTGTAAGGGACAATTTGGTCCTTTAATGCCTAAAAAAATCTAACTTACACCAGAAATACCCCTTGGATCTTGTTACTCAGCACCCTGAAAATATATTTAATACATACTTCACATATAAGTGCTTGTGTTTTTATGGCTGTGGCTGACCTACAAATAAAGAATCTCAAAAGCAAAGCAACACTTGCACTGAGGTCCAATAACTACATAAACATAATATGTCTCTCACTAGGCTAATTTCACAGCAGACAACTTCATATACACAACCAAGAAGAAAGGTTCTTCTGTGAGATTCTTTAGGATGGAAATGTAAGATCCACATTTGTAATTCTGTGCTGCCCTCTATGGGATGCTGGGAGAACTTCAAGCCTGATTTGAGCAAGGCAGGCTCTGGAAGAGCCTCACCACAAGGCTAAGCCATCTCCAACTCGCACTTATTCATCTGGAGGTGCTACAGTGAGAAGGGTTGTTAAAATGATTTTTTTTTTAAAGTTTCTTTAAAAAAAATACCCTGAAACAGTTTCTTCACAATTGCAAATCACCTCCTTCAGCCTGTGTTTCTAACTAATGCTACTGCATTTAAAAGTGACTTGGTCAAATTACCCATCTCATTTATTTCTCAAAGCTAAGGGTTCAAAGAAGTTGGTAGGAATTAGGACTTTCCTTTTTTTTTTTTTTTTTTAATTTATTTATGATAGTCACACAGAGAGAGAGAGAGAGGCAGAGACATAGGCAGAGGGAGAAGCAGGCTCCATGCACCGGGAGCCTGACGTGGGATTCGATCCCGTGTCTCCAGGATCGCGCCCTGGGCCAAAGGCAGGCGCCAAACTGCTGCGCCACCCAGGGATCCCGAATCAGGACTTTCCAAAGCTCCTTTGTGTGGAATCTCTAATCACCACGAAGGTCCTACTGCAGAGGCCATTAGCTGTCCATTATATGGCCAGGCAGGCAGCAATGACACCAGCACAGAGCCCCCCCACCCCTGGGCAGCACAGGTAAGTGCACTACTCAGACTCAGTCCCTGTGACCCCAGGAAGCAAGCGCTGCTGTCCCACCCCAGATGAGGGAACTGAGGCAGAGGAAGGAAATGAGCTCATGGCCTCAGCCAAGTGCTGGTGGCCTACAGACTCACCTAGCCAGTGCCGCTCAGCATCTGTGCTGACCATGAATCACAGAACCACATGGCTTACGGGTCCAGCACGGGGAACTCCATATAAATCTCTAATCACGGGGGGGGGGGGGGGTGCACCTACTCATCCATGCAAAGCTTTTTTCTCCTCAAGTCACAGACTTGATGATACATACAGAGAGAAACTCTGAAGAGAAAAATGTCTACTCACTTTTTAAGTTATCATTTCTGCAGTCTAGAACACTGTCCACAGTAGGATGAATATTATCATTATATTAATCACAAGGAAGAAAAACAGCTGCCAATTACACCAACAAAATGTAGCAGAGGGCCTGTGGTGGCGCATCTCCCACCTTCACCACGTTCATTTTTATTTCTAATAAGGACCAAAAAGGAGATTGTTTTAATACCACTCCCCAGGTGGGGGGGACCTCCATCTAGGTCCCTCCGGTACACAAAAGAAGAGAAAGAATACAAGCTCCTTTAACCATACTTGTCTATTTCATTTAGTTAGCTGCAATATGAAATACAAATTTAGGTGCCACTAATTCTAATACTTTTTAGATTAATTGAATCCAACAACAACAAAAAGACTCCATACCACTAGAACCCAAATCTTTTTTTTTTTTAGAACCCAAATCTTTAAACAATTTTCATATCAACAATTGTTTTTTGTCTAGCTGAAAGACAAATATATAAAAACAGGCATAAATATCTTGGGAGACCAATACCGAAAACTCCTATACTAAGCAAATCATTTTCAAGTGTAACTATTCACTATTATTAAAATATTTTGATAAATATTTTTCAAATGATATTTGTGGTAATAATTAATGATCCTGTACACATACACCAAGCCTGTTATACACACTGCACATGTGTGAAAAGCTCCAAAGGTAGTTTACAGGAGCACTTTAAATAATATTTCTGTATTTCTGCCTCAGATTTATAGTTGGCGGGATGTTTCTAAATTTGTTGTATTAACAAAAGCTAAGTAGCTAGTTGATTTCTGCTCATTTAGTTGCCTGAACACTAACAACTTTAAAATATTCCTTATAACTAAAAGAATATTACACCCCAACAGAAACATGAGTAAAAAACTAGTTTCCCGAAAAGAGAAACACAAATGACAAAACAACTGTTTATACTCACCATTTAAAAAGCATTAAAATTTTTCAAATAAATGGATGTTAGCTGACCAAGAGTAATACAGCTAGCCGCTAGGCAGAGGGCTTTGCTAGTGCGGACGTGCCCTCAATCAGCAGCTAGTTCCCTGAAGCCATCTGATGACGTGCACTCAGAGTTGAAGTATGAGCACTAGTGCTTGCAAATGTAAAGTAAAAATAGAATCCATACCTGCTACCTCAGCTATTCCATCTCTAATTCATCTAAAGAAATATTTAGATGCATATAAATATATACTTAAACTTTATGACAGTATATTCATGGGAAAAAAGAATACAGAATACATATCAAAGAGAAAGGATAGAACAGTGTAAAATATATACACATGAAGGAATATTCTGCTATTATAAATATTTTAGGAGAAGTTTCAGTGACAAAGAATGGGTAGTGAAAGAAGCTAACACAAAGCTCTCTGTAACACCATGAAGTTATGTTAACGTGATTAATGCTCTACAAGATAAAGAAAATCAATCAGAAGTCTGTGACTTGAGGAGAAAAAAGCTTGCAGACTACTCCAATACATGAGAAGAGCAAATTCATGCTGACCCTGGTGAGATGATACTGAAATCAGCAATGTGTCACAACCAGCTAACAGCTAGAGCCAGAGGCCTCCCTGTGACAGAGCGTACACACCACCCAGAGACCTTCCAAATCAGGAAGGAGGGAGGACGCGGGCACCACACCACTCACGCCACAGCCCGGATGCCACCAGGGGAGGGTGTGAGGCCGGCAACAGGACAGTTCACCAGCGAGCACCCGGTGGACTGCATGAGTCACCCCGCAACACACCATGGGAAAGAGGGACACAGTGAAGAGCAGGAGACCGTAAGGTCCTCTGAGTGACGGATGCCTCCTTCTGCCAGGCAGCCCTCATGGATTGGAAATGCTCCAAGACAGTATTTCCTGTCCACGACCACTATGGTATCTAAAGGAAAACATTCTCTCTTGCTTCTTTCCCAGCTATATCAGAGGCTCCTTATCATTAATTTTCTACAAAGTTATTAGTCCAGAGAAAGCAAGGCAAGGAACGTAAGGGGATCCTGATCCCCAGGAAAAGACCAGCTGTGATTTCAGAAAGCATGGGACACGGAATATATCTGTCAACACACAGGCCCCCGACTTCCGGGTATACCTATTCTGGAACTCTGGAAGCTGCTCCAGGATCAGCCTTGACCTAGTAAACATGTACAGACGACCCGTGCCTGTCTTCAATCAATGGCTCCTTTTTCAATAACCACTTTCACAAAAAGATTAAGAACCTACAAGTGTCACTTCTCTTTAGAGAAACGTTGTTGAAATACTTTCTCAAAGGTTTTGACCAAATGAATTTCAATATGAAGATTCCAAAATTATCCATAAATGAATGAAATTATTCAGTATTCGTAACATTAAAATAAACCTGGCTAGCTGACATGAGAATCTTTATTACGGCTTATAATTATAAAGTATTATTAGAAAATATTTCCACGTCCTGGTTTATGAACCAAAACAAACATTAAAGCAATTCCAAAATAGACCTTAATCAAAATACTAAGTGAATTTTAAGTGAACCAGCAATTTATTAAGCAGCTTTCTTTCCTTAAAAATTAAAATAAAATCCATATGTAAACACTAGAGTACAAACGAATGTGACTCTGAAAAAAACCTCATGATCTAAACAATCTAATTTGACTCATATTCTGACTTGCACAGAAATCAAGATAAGCAATGTTACAAATGAGCCTTTTCACAAAAGCCAAATCCAAAAGTATGAATCCACTCCTCTGTTTGCCAGGCTGCAACGCAGGCCCCTGACTGCCCAGCAGTGCATTTACCTGGCATATTTCTCAGGAGCTTTGCATTGCACATATGTCCCTTTCGAATGTCAGTAAGGATGTATTCCATCCGCTTGGCCCTCCAGAGGAAGTTAAATACTCTCAGGTAGTGGCTCATACACTCTCGGGTAAATACCTGTGAAGAATAGCACAAGACAGACTGTAGTACTCTGTGATGGAAGCCCCCCTCCCCACCCCGGACAGGTCTCCACCTTTCATCTTTTTATTTTTAAGCCAAAAAAGCCAAAGCATACACAATCAACTCTAATAAACTCTACGTTGTACACAACCAATTATACTATAGTAAGTTTCAGGAAAGGATCATTACTGATGTGCTAAGCATCATGTCAAGCAAACTCACAGGAACAGCAGGTAGATATTTTTATACCAATTTTATAGACTGAGAAACAGAGGCCTAAGGTTACACGGTTAGGAAATGATACGTCGGGACTTTGAGCCTAAACCATAGTCGAAAATGTGGACTCTTAACTCCAACTCCAGGTCTGGCTCCGTAGCAGTTTTTTCTACCTGAGCCCACCTGAGGGAGATAAGAGGGTGGCAAATCTCATGGAGGATGGGCCTGGAACAATCTCCAGCCTGTAAAGAGGGGTCCGGGTTGTTTCCACATACGTATTTATGGCTCTTTCACTGCAAAATGGCCAGCGGTGTCACATCCCAGGAGGATGAGCCCCATGGGCAGGGGTGGGGTGAGGCCTTCCTTCCATGCCCGCCTCCCTCCTATGGGGGCCAGATTGAGCAAATAAAAACACAGGACACCAGTTAAATACGCATGTCAGGTGAACCACAAATAATCTTCTAGTGCCCATCTGTCCCACGCATACACGTAACAAGGTTTTCTGCAGATGAAAGCCAAACATGTTTCTGACACCAATGTGTGCCGAACAGATGTGGGCACATGTCTGCCCTTTTCCAGACACCTCAAACAAGGAATGCGTCGCCTCCGTTACCAACACTCCCCTCGCAGCACAAAGAAACTAGGAACAGCCTACCCATGTAGGGCTTCTGCTTCCAGCAGCTCTGGGCTGTCCCTCCCCAACCCGGGAGCATGGCCCCTCAGCCTGAGACCTTCCCCCTCACACCACTCCCGGGTACTCCCTATGCCCTAGCTAGTCCCACACCCCACATGGCCCCCAAGGACACAGGCCACACACTTTTCCTTGACCTCACCAATGTCCCTCTTGTCCAGACAGAATATTTATCATTTGACCCTTGCAATTTTAGCACTTCGTTGTAGACTGCTTTGCCTTCTCTTATTTTGTATATTCTTGGCACTGCTCATGTGTTACAAGGACTACCTGTCTATTTTTCTGTAGGCCTTTCTGTGCCAGTATTTGGCAGGTGCTGAATACTAACTCACGACAGCACGTCTAAACAGGAATGGTTAGGAACTATTTTGAATGGACTCTGAAATCAACTGTGAATGTTTTGGGGATTATCTATTTTGCTGTGCTGCCCACACTACTGTTTTTGTAACTATAAACAGTGACTGAAGGAAACAATTTTACAAATGAATTAAAGAAATCTTTGTTATACAAATGCTATTTCAAGGGACCCTTTAAGTGCCAGGTTTCCCAGAGCACATTTAATGTAGTGTTTAAACATCCAGTTTAATCAATTCTTTAAAAACAGTAACTGTTTCAGAGAAAACATTCCTTCCCACTACATTTGTATAGGGGAAATACCCTCCATGTTTCATTTTGCCATGTATATGGTCTTTCAGTTCACTGCCTATGCAGTATACAGTTCAGAAAAAACAATAAGTTTCCGACACCTCATTTAATTCCCTGGAGATCAAGGACAAAGAACCGAAGGATTTTATCCCATCCAGTACCCAAGTGAGGAGATGAGAGATAATCTCTACATGTCCTTCTTCACAGAATTAGCAAGAAGTTAAAATTATACGGTCATAAAAAATAAAAATCATGTGACTAACATAAGGTATGTCCTCATAATTAAGTTTTCTACAAAAATGACAATCTCAATTAATGAGAATAGAAAAGAAACAGATAATATAATGTTTAATAAGGAAAAAGAGGAAAATCCATTTTCTTCCAAAATTTGATCTAAAAGTGTATTTTTAATAATAAAATATTCCAGTTAGCTGAAAATGTAACAAGCTGAGACAGAGGCTTGCCCTAGGACTGGAACAGCAAAAGCCAGATGTGCAAGACATCACCTCCCATACAATGTTCCCCAGCACATCCTGCTAATTCATTACCAGCCCTGCTCTCCTTCCCAGAGTAGCCTCCCAGGCGTGCCCTCCAGCTGCCGGAGTGGGCAGGTGACTTGTTAGCCATAGACAGAGATCCATCCTAAATTTTTTAAAAATAAATGTGTAACAAAGTTCTTCTATTGACTGTTTTGACTAGAGCTTTCAAAAATCTAAAATTTAAAAAATATACTGCATAACCACGTGTTTATATACAAGCTATGCCACTTCTAACTGTATGCTCAGTAAATCTGAAATATTGTGAAATAATTAAGGAACTGTGTATATGGAACATGTCCAATCTACCTAATATTCAAGGCACTTATACTCTGAAATAAGAAATACTTTACTATGGTACCTTTTATACTAAGAAAAAAATAATATGCAACATACTCAATATTAACAACGTAGATAATATCAAAGTTTCGGATTTAAATAATAATGTATAGAACAGAATTTTTTGTTTAAAGTAGGCTCCATGCCCAGCAGAGAGCCCCACACAGGGCTTTAACTCAGGACCCTGAGATCATGACCTGAGCCGAAATCAAGAGTTGGACACTTAACTAACTGAACCACCCAAGAGCTCCAGAACAGAATGTTTTAACAAATAAGCATCTACAACTATTCAGGATACAAGTCAAATGAGGAAAAAAAGTAATTTGAATGTGACAAAAAATTAAATAGGAGAGCAGTTCTGCATTCACATACTGGGAGCCCCCATCTCGCAGCAAGCATGCTGCAACAGCACAGCAAGAGCAGGGAGAGGACGCCCTGGAAAGCAAACTGGTGGGGGTGAGGCTCACAACTGGAGAAATTTTAGAGCCAAATTATATTACCTCTTAACAAAGTCTTTTTCCCAATAATCTAAAGAGATGAATGTCCTCCTTCAGATGTAAAATGACTGAAGTCAGCTCAAGGACATTTCCTGGCAAAGGAGTTTACTCTGGTATGATAACAGCATACACCCAGAAGGAAGGGGCTCAGTTAACTGCAGACACAAAGAGCTCCTGGGATTACACCCCTGCCCATCTGGACTGACGTGGACAGAAATAGCACTTTGGTGAGGCGCAGCAAATGCACTACAGATAACCGTACAGCCTCTTCCCGTCCATTTCAATGAACGCTAAGTATATTTGACCTAAACAGTAAAAACGTGACTCCTGTAAAATACACTTTGTGGTTCCTTTCACATTATCCCGAATTAGTAGCTATGGTCTAAGAACAATGGAGCACAACAAGCAATCCGTTTATTAAATACCTGCTGAAACCTAGGATGGAACAAATGGTATTTTTAAGAATCCTTAAAATTATAGACCATCTCAGTGTTCATTAATGATCATCTAAAACACATAGTGATTGTTGCTTCAGTATTCATTCAGTAGGTCTCACCCAGATGTTAAGCAATCGCCTGCCTGCACTAGAAGCTCACTGAGAAGACGGCCAGTTCTACAACATGACAGCTAGCGATGTGAGGAGCCGTGGCTGCTGTCACATCACCCAGCACTGCCTTACCGTTGCAATTGGCCCATCGACGTGGTAGTCCAGGCTGAACACGTCCCACCCGGTATCACCTGGAGAGACCTGGGAGCAAAAACACAAACTGCAGGCCTTCCCACCAGTGCTAGGCTTCCTGCCAAAGGATCCAGCCAGTCCTCAAAGAAAAGGCAGTAAAATAAAGCCCAATTTTTGGGAAAATGCTCAATAGTTCTGAGCATTAGCCACATGAGAACTGCATCTTTTTGCCAACTCCTGTACCCTCAGCACTGAAACAATAGGCACCTAAGAGGTGCTCTACAGATACTGTGGAAAGAATGGCGTATTTTTGAATGAATATGATAAAATCTGTTTCAAATTTGTCACCGTATTTTTATGGCAGAAACTCACTGCCTTATATGTCCCAAATCCTTTAAAAGTCAACATTTTAAAAACCCAACGGGCTCTGCTAATGGTCCTTTATCATAGCTAAGCAAACAGTGTACAGTGTTTCTGATATTCATTCCCCAAAGAAAAGTCATCTTGTATCAAACTGAAATTAAAAACATAGATTTTTGATAAATCTTATTATTTTGATACGTATTATTATTACTTTCTGTTCAGAACGTCCAACAGGTATCATACCTGTGGCTTCTGCAACATTACCATTAACAAGAAGAGTAAGGCTAACTACACAATGTACTGCCAGGCCTGTGGCAAGCACTGCGTGTTCTATGCCCACCTAAGATCACGCAGCAGCAGGCACAACCCCCCATCCACCAGGTAAGACTACATGCACTTAAACAGGGAACACTGATGGGAGGGCTGGCCAGGTAGCTCACTGCCTACACAGGACCAGGACCACAGTACCTCTAGGAGCCTCACGTCCAATCTCTTGAGGATCTCGGGGCTGTCAAACTGGGCATTGGTGGCTCTGACAGCAGTTTCGAGAATTCCAGTCAAGTTGTGTTGATACAAAGTTGTAGCTGGACGGACAAGTTCTGGTCTTAACAGATTTTTAAAAAATAAAATGTTACTTGAATTCTTAATGAGATTTATAAAAACTCAAAATCATAAAGAGTTCAAATTATAAACACTAAAATGAAAAAAAAAAAACAACTACAATATGAGAACAAAAGTTTCACAAAATTAGGGGCACGTGGGTGGCTCAATGGGTCAAGCAACTAGCTTGGCTCAGGTCATGATCTCAGGGTCCTGGGATTGAGTTATGCATCGGGCTCCCTCCTCATTGGGGAGTCTGCTTCTCCCTGTCCCTCAGCTCCTCCCCCAGAGCATGAACAAGCACACGCGCATACATGCACGCACACTCTCTACACGCACGTGCATGCACGCACATACTCTCTCTCAAATAAATAAAATCTTTAAAAAGTTTTACAAAATTGACTGTCAATAGAATTTTGCCAAGTGTTTTGGAAAGTTAAACACTTAAGTCTCAAAAAATTAATTTTGATTCTGCTTCACTTGAAAATACTTACATATGCCACATATGTTAAAAAATAAAGTTTTTAATTGAAGTCTGGCCTGTAGCAACATGAACTATTATATAATCCCCTGCAGAGATCCGATGGGAAGAGAGATCCTCATTAAATCAGAACAATCACACATATGGACATCACGATTCTAAGGGTGACCCACTGCACACCCTTTGGACACTGGACTGTCAGTGCCACAGTATCTCCAAGGCATAGGAAATGAACAAATGAAAGGACTTCTATGTGAGAACTTTATCTCTTCAGATTTCATCTTACCAGGATGTTCTACGAGGATTCAACACATTTTCCTCTAATGCCATTGATTCTTTAAAACAAGAACCCTAAGACTCTTTATCATGCTGAATCTATTTGTATTCATAAAAATGCAAAGTCTTCTTACTTGAGCAAATCCATTAGGTGCCTTATGAAATCCCCCTGGCCAAGAAGCAGGTACCGCCTGACCGCCTGCATGTGGTCCAGGAGGCTGTACTTTCTGTTCAGAACATCCAATAGGTACTTGCTGGTCTCAAAATAGGCCGCATCAATTTTCCCCCGAAATGCGTTCTCCAAATCTGTGAACACATCTGCAGCTGTAAAGAACAAAAGAAGAAGTACACAAACGTCTATAATCTGTATTTTAATAAAGATAAAACTAAAGGCTGTCATGTACAAAAGCCATTGCCAAAACCCACAAATGGCCTCGGAGACAGATATGACAGGCCATGTGTGTGCTCAGGAAGGCGTGAGCCCCAAGCCCCAGAAACTGGAAATGCTGCTGTGTGGCCGTCTGTGCAAGCAGCCTGTGCACTGTGACCAGAAAGAGGAGCCCCAATAGCAGCTGGTCATTTCCAGGTATAAAGGTCAAGTTATCCTTTACAGTGTAATGAACTCAAAACCACACTAAAACATGCTGATGAAAAGTGCAGTATAAGGGAGGTATTCAATGCTGAAATCGCCTACACGTGCCTACATGACACTTTTGAAACCCATCTCAAGAACAAACAGGATGGCACATGTAAAGACTGAGCTCTGTGAATGGCTAGCCTGGCTGAAGGTCTGGTGCTGTCACATGCAGCCACGACATGAAGCTAACCATGGGGGAAGACGTGTGGGGAGATTTTTCAGAGAACGTGGAATAAAAGCAGGCCTAACTCCAAGCAGTAACATAAAAAAGTAAACGTTTCCATAGTTTTATACTGCAAAGAAATAGCACAAGGATATTACACACATACTAGAGCTTTTTCCTGCTAACTTATTATTCTATGGCACAAGACAGTTTATAAAACTAAGTATTTGATTTTATTTAAAAACTATGACAACACTTAACAGTTGGGGCCTATCCTCCACTCTCATTTGTAAAACTGGACTCTACTCTTTGGTCACACTTCCAAATATTCAAAATTTTTCTTTCTTTTTTTTTTCTCAAATATTCAAAACTTTTCAAATGTGAAATACAAATTCAACTTTTCCCCTTGCTTTTGTGTTCCTGTCAGTCTTTCCAGGTTTCCTATCTTTTATCTTTCCAACCATACTCCTAGCCTAAAGGCAAAGAAACCCTTGCCCTGTAGCCCAAAGCCGCAAGGAGCACAAGAGGCTGAGTTGTCATCAACGTAACCAAGGGGAGCAGTCCAGGAACTCAATAGTGGCCATAATCCACCAGGCACGACTGCAGGCCTCACAACGACTTCTGCCTCACTGGCAAAAATCCTTGTCTGCACGTCTCCACAGTGAGCACGGGTACCACACTGTGTGGCCTCAACTAGTTGTCTTCTCTGGGTGATAGGGAAAGGTCAAAATCTGTCAACACAAGTCTCCTGGCTCTCCTTCATTATTCTACCTCGTCAACAGGGGTATTTCCCAAAAATCTGTTCTTGGGTCACATCTCTCTCTATTCTAAGAACTGGGGTCTGTGCATCCCTAGGAAGTATATGCTAAATTGTCTGTGATGAATGCACTTGGAGCAAGGAGGGAGAGGCATCTGACCCCAACAGCTGGAGTATTCACTACACTAAGGGGCCCTGTCCTTAACCAGCATGGTGACGCAGGCACTTCCCAAAGCCCGACAGCTGGCCCTGACCTCGGTCTGGATTTTCAACATAGCTTTTCCAGTACCTTGGAGACCTCATCTAGTGAGTCCTCTCAGATACTAAAAATCAAATTGGGCCAAAATGTACATGAATAGATGCTCAACACCACTCATCATCAGGGAAATGCAAAACAAACTACAGGGAGGTACCACCTCACACCTGTCAGAATGGCCAGAATCAAAAACAGAAGAAACAACAGGTGTTGGTGAGGATGCGGAGAAAGGGATACCCTCATGCACTTTTGGCGGGAATGCAAACTGCTGCAGACCCTCCGGAAAACAGTATGGAAGGTCCTCAAGAAGTTAAATATAAAAAACTACCATATGATCCAGTAATTCCACTACTGGTTTTTTACCCAAAGAAAATAAAAACACTAAAAGATACATGCAGCCTATGTCCACTGCAGCATTAAGTAATCTCCTAAGTATGAGATATGGAAGCAGCCCAAGCGTCTATCTACAGATGAATATGTAAAGGAAATGTGGCATATGCACACAAGAGAATATGATTTAGCCTTAAAAAAAGAAGGCAATTCTGCTGTTTGTGGCAACACAGATGGACCTGGAGAACATTATGGTTAGAGAAATAATGCAGACACAGAAATACTGTCTGGTATCACCTGTCTGTGGAATCTGAAGTTTTCCAACTCAGAGAAGCAGAGGGTCAAGTGGAGGTCGCAGGGGCTGAGGGGAGGCGAGCACCAGCACAGGGTACAAAGTTTGGTGATGCCAGGTGAAAAAGTTCTGGTGTCTAGCATTCACATAGTTGCCTACCACCAACCCTACAGCACTGTACACTTACAGCAATTTATCCATACATCTCATTTAGCACTTATCTTTTACTATTTACTATTCATTATTTCATTTTATTTTCCATGTTTTATCTTCATAGCTAGACTGTAAGCTAATGAAAGGCAGTCATCATCATGTACAATAATTGGTATCATCTTGCCTACACCTGCCACGCTGTGCCATATGCAGCATGAGTCAGAATAAGCACACGAACAGAAACAGCCAAGACCAGAAAGTTGTCCGTGCACAAAACACCATGCAATGATGCGAAAAGTAGGAGAGGACAATGGTGAATGAGGGAACCAGAGAACATCTAGAGCAGGGCAGCACTCTGAATACAATCAACACTTGAGAATTCCTGCTGATTCCTGAATGAGCCTCTGTCATAGGTGCAGCCACCAAGAGCAACAGTTTTCCTTTCTTATCTCAGCAAACTATCGCTGTATCATTTTTTAAAAATAATATAGATTACTAAAAGTAATTTACTATGAATAAAACAGCCACACCTAGTCCAATACTTATTAAGTCCACATAAAAAAGGGAATTCAAAATTTACATAGTAATATTTTATACACATCATACTATATATTAAGGTATTCTGGATAACAATTCAGAAAACGTGTCAGTCCTATTGGACAAAAAAATGCTTCCAGCAATATATATACACAACACCCTCACCACAGCGATCACCATCATACCATCCTGGGGTGAGTCCGCAGACTGGGTCACAGCTATCATCTTCGTAGTGGGCGTCTGGTCATGACAAACCTGGTGCAGGAAATTTATTGATTTTCCTATCAAGAGGACCTAGAAAAGAAAACATCCTAGATTTACTTTTACATAAAAATCATTGATCATTCAACTACCACAAATATTCCTGAGCAACAAACTATTAATTAAAAATTAACAATATCTGGGATAGTATCAAGTGAGTTCTAAAAAGATATTATTAACACACACATATTTATAGGTCAACACATTCAATTAATACACACTTCTATAATGCAATAACATTTTAAGATAAGTTTTGTCACCTGATGCAGGCACATACAGGTAGATACAGATTAAAATATCAAAACCACGAATCTCCCTTCTGGCCTTACCTTCCTGGACTGATCCATTGTAATAAAGGAAGGGATCATCGATTTCCGTAAGGTGTACTTGTCCTGCCATAGCCGGTCTGTTTTAACTGCTGGATCTGAGGCTACAAAGAACTGAGAAAAGAGACATAGCAACATCAGAATGTGACACGGCAGACTATCCACTAACGGCAACATGGAAGAAGCCATTCTGAAAGCCAAGCTCTTGAGATAACAGGAGACTGAGCCTTTATACAGCGAAACTTGTCTTAGAAAGCATTTTAGCTACATCACTCTCTAAATCATTAGATGTCCCAGGCTTTTTAAGTGGAAGTATAATGAAACAGGCTTTTTCCTGAAGATTTACGATCCTCAAGAGGATTATCTGTTGTAACCTCTGATAACTATGAGGGTCTGGGTGTGAGGGCCGCTGCCCAGAGGTCCATGTGCGAGTCTGGAACACAGCAGGGCCAACACTGCCATACCCTGCTCGTGGACTGCTGGCTACAGGCTAATGTGAACAGACAGGCAGGCAGGCAGGCAGCACCAGTCTACCAAGCAGCACTGCCATTAAGTGACCTTTCTGAGAAGCACCTTTGCTCAGAAGCTTCTTCCCCATTCACAGTGCTCAACACCTTTGCTGACCCCACCAACCAGCTTGCCTCCTGACAACAGAAAGGGCACGGAGAGTGGGGGGGGGGGGTAAAATAGAGCTAAATTGCTACTGATTCTAGCCCATCTCCTACCACAATAAGGGCACCACTCTCAGTTTTCAGTGATGTCCTAATACACTAGTGCTTTTAGCTCTATAACCAATTTCTAACAGCCGCTGAGTCAAAGCAATTCTTAATCCTTACAGATGTGCCAGCCTTCCTTTCCATACAGTGGTGTCCAGACACTCCCACAAGTGGGATGTGCCATTCTAGATTTTGCCCATCAGCTGGTGAAAGCATGGCTGCTTGTACTGTTATTATTCTGACAAAGGAAGTTGGGGCTGTTTTCGTCATATGGGTGGTTATTTGCTTTTATTCTCCTGTAAACTGTCTTTCATCTCCTCAACCTATGTTTCTACTGACTTTGTCCTTTTCTCATCAATATTTGAAAACTGTTATATTAGGGATCATGACCATTTGTGAGGCAAGTATTACAAAGTTTTGTAAGTTAATCATTTACCAACATCTACAGTATGTTTCATGTTTTTGCTTTGCTCCATTTTTGTTGTGTAGGTAAACATCATCCTGTGTGGCTTCTGAGTTTCTTGTCTTCCTAGGTTACACAGATATCCAACATAATTTTCTTCCAGCATTCCTGCCATGTTATTTTCATAGCTCAGGTCCCTCATCCCTCTAGGATTTACCTTGGACATGATGTAGGGTCTAGGTTTCTTTCTGAATGGCATTCGTCTAGTGGTTGAGCCAGCTAGCACCTTCTTCTGAACGCACTGTCTTTCCCTCTGAGCTAGGACGCCTCATCAGAAACTCTCGCTGTCATTAATTTTATGAATAGATTAAAAGGGAAGAAAGTTGACCAGGTCGAGAGAGGCTGAGGGATTTGGTAACATCTTTATTTCCCAGCTTCCAATGTGTTCTATCATCATGAACATGGAGTTATATGCATCTGTGTTCCAGTCCATACACTTATTATCCTTATTGGCACTCCAGGTTTCCCATTCTGGGATGACAGGAGCCTCTTCAAGCTAGCTGCAAAGTCCTTTAGCCTTGACCTTTAGTCTTCCTTGCTTCTGGTATGGAAGATGCTCTAGGCTCATCTTCCTTCTCCCCTAGACCAAGAATCGGCCACTCACCCAAGGAGCCCTAGTTCATTTTAGGGAGAAATGGCATTTGAACCAGAACCTCAGTAGTTGGTACTGTCTTAAGTTAGAAGCTGAATGGTCTGAGACTCAGCACTGACCATGTGACCAATAGCACTCAGCTCCCTAGCAAGACTGTAAAATCCACTGAAGTCATAACATACCTAAAGTCCCTCTTTGGTCATTCTTACATAAGTTCCAAATCACCAGGTGAACAACATACAACCCTCAGGAAAGTATATCCTCAGAGACAATGTATTTAAAGAATTTTAAAATATTTGTAGTAATTATATAACAATATAAAATTAATGGTTTCCTAGCAAAACATAACCAAAATTTACCCAAGGAGAGAGAACTTGAAATCAGAAATGTAAAATGCCTACTTCACTTTAAAACAAACAAACAAACAAAAAAAGACATTGTTACATTGAAGTATTCTAGACCACAGAAAAATATACAGATTGCTTGAGTTTATTTTATGGATCTCTGTAACACTAGCACAACCTTATAAAAATAATACTCAAAACGGGTGCCTGGGTGGCTCAGTAGGTTAAGTGGCTGACTTGATTTCAACTCAGGTCACGATCTCAGGGTCCTGGGATTGAGCCCTGCATCAGGCTCCAGGCTCAGTGTGGAGTCTCCTTGAGGATTCTCTCTCTTTCCCGCTGCCCTTTCCCCTACTCTCTCCCTCTCAAATAAACAAATCTAAAATAATAGGGATCCCTGGGTGGGACAGTGGTTTGGTGCCTGCCTTTGGCCCAGGGCGCGATCCTGGAGACCCGGGATCGAATCCCATGTCGGGCTCCCGGTGCATGAAGCCTGCTTCTCCCTCTGCCTGTGTCTCTGCCTCTCTCTCTCTCTCTCTCTCTCTCTGTGACTATCATAAATAAATAAAAATTTAAAAAATAATAATAATAAAAAATAAAATAATAATAGTAATACCCAAAATGGAAACTACAAGCCAGTTTCATTTGTGAATATAAATGAAAAAATTATGAATATTATCCTTGCATTACTGGAGTAATATATTTTTGGCCAGGGTACATTACACTTTCCAATACACTACTAAAGACAAAGGAATATATAACAAATTATAAAATAGTATCACGTAGTCATTAAACTAAAGTTCATTCTTAACTATCACAAACTGAGAACTTAATGGGAAAAAAAAACAAAACAGATCTTGTTCCCAGGGGAAAAAAAAAGAATATATCCACAAAATACACTTTTATGTGCTATACAGCAGTTTCAGAGATCATGCTTTATAAAGCCTTGGTACAGAAGAATAAAATTTAATAGCACGGAATTTTCATTATTAAAAAAAAAACACAAGACCTTATTTGGTTAAAGCAGGAATGCAAAATCAAATGCTTCAGAAATATTTTCAATGAAGGCTGGAAAGGTTTTTCTCATTGTTTACTTTAAATTTTAAAAAAAGTTAAAGGGTTACAAAATTCCAAGTATACACAGTGAAATGGACACAGAGAAATACAGAAAATATATTAACAGGTTATCTATTCATGATGAAATTACTAATAAACTTTTTCTGTTAACAGGCTCAAAAATTTTCAATTAGTATTTTTAAATCAGAAAAAAATACTATCCAAAAGAACTAAGTAATTCAAGCCAATGAGTGAACATATGGTGACAGTAAAAAAAAAAAACTTTTCAGTAAGATCACTTTCCCAAGGCAATCAAAGAAAAAAGATATTTTCTTCTGTTCATGGAAATCTACTCCCAAGGATAAATATTTAAGGAAACAAAGATTTTAATGATGTTAACGTCTTATATTCAATCCTTGTTAAGTCAGGGCTAGATGATATCAATTACAGTCAATCTCCTTTGTAAGTAGATATTTGAATAAATGCCAATATCTTATGGCCATGAAGATAAGAGCACTATCTGTATTTTCAATGCAAATTTCTTATTTTTAGATATAAATTGAAATTACAAAAGTATTTATTGATTTTTATATTTTAGATTTTTAAATTTATATTCCCTAATTTTAAACACATAACTAGTGACTGCTTTGAGGAATAACCGGTCCTACTATAATGAAGCTATTATCACTTTGTAAGATATACTTCAATTATCGCTGACAGAAAATTTAAAAAATGTTATAAGCCCACCATGAGTAACCTGAAAGGTCACCCAATCATCACGCTATGATTGCTCTGTGGCCTACCATTCAACATCAGATGAATTGCATATGAATTGTATTTACCAGTTATTCACTTAAAGAGAAGAGCTAGTTTCTACAAAAAAAAAAAAAAAAAAAAAAACACTAATTTACCCTGATAGAGCGCAGTCAGGTTTTTATCAGTTTTTATCAGTAAGAGCGATAAGACAATTTATTTTAAAAGAAAAAAACTCAGACAATTCAGTCTTTAGAAATTATAAAAGCATCACTTCATCTGAGGGCAAAGTTGCGTGCAATCACTCTCCCAGCAAACACCGAGAGGAATAGGTACACCCTAGCATTTAATTAATCCTCTGAAAAATATATAGTTATAGAGGAAAAAACCAAGGCCAGAACATAATTGCTTTTATTTCATTGATGCATTTTCCACTCAAGGTTCTTTGATTTTCACCATGGGTCAAACACAGAAAAAACAGAAAAAAAGTGACATAATTGTACCATGATTTCTCATTAACTGTTGGACAAATGCCAAGCCTCCCTACTAAAAACAGAAATGAGGAGGATAATTTTCGGAGCAAGCAGCTTAGTTTCTAAGAAACAGATCCATTATTACACACAGACCCCAACTCCCAACTGTCAACAGGCTGGCACCTCCCCAGAGTTCCCACTTCTGCCACACCCAGAGCAGCTAAGGTGGTTCCAGACCCAAGGCGGGGAGACCGGAGGTGGTAAGACCCGAGGCAGGGAAAGATAACATCCAAGGCAAATGAACGAACCAGTGTGTCAGGGGTGGGGCACAGAAGTGACAAAACAGTAAGATATTCTATATGGTAAACTTATAAATTCAGTAATTCTTAGCAAAGTTATAAAAGAAACAGAATAACAAGAGTGCCAATGCACCCACAGATATTCCCTAAAGCAGTCACTGCATTAATCTCTTGTTCATTCACTGACCTTCTAAGCCAAGGGTGTAGATTTTTAGAATCTTTTTAGAGCATCTAAGTAAACATTTAAGTAAGTTCGAAAATTTCCAAATTCTGCAAAGACCTTCCTTTTTATCTGTCCATCTTTTCTTGCTCCTCATTGAAGCCCCTCACCCTTTGACAAGAATTATCCAAAGGCAAAAAATAAAAATCAAGTAAATTAACACCAACTCCGTTATTCTTACCTTAAACTGGCATAATT